ACCGTAAAACTGATGGTAGTCAAAGATTCAGTCTTGGGTAGTGGAAGACTAGGGAGGCTGATGGATGAGTCATTTATGTACGAGGAGGTAAATGTAGAGTTTAGGGCTTCAGCGATTGTCTGGGGGGAGTTGAGAGATATTTCCAGGCAGAATTAAGTGTAAGATGCTGGGATTTGTGACTTTATTCCTAGCCTTATGTAATTGAGACATTTTCCATATTGGATTTGAATGGCACAGAGCCCTGAGTTTCTGGTTTCTGTGTTGTTTGGCCGTTTCTAGCTGGATTTTTCTTGAGAGGTCATGCAACTACATCAGGAGAGAGAAATCGTGCGTGGCTTGATACCGTTTAGCAATTTTATTGAATTTAGTTTTAAAATTCTCTAATTGAGTTGGGCGGCAGGTAGATACAACGAAAGTTGGGGAGCAGATGCAGCTGGTAATTTTTTTATAATAAATATCCGCCGCTAGTTGGGGGTCAGACAAAAGGAAGAAATCAGACCAGTCCAGAAAACGAATCAGACTTGGTAGGTTTGTCCAGTTAATTTGGTGGCGTGGGATAACTGGTGGCGGAGGAAGTGTCTGTGCTAATTCTAATTTAAACATGCAATGAACCCTTTTGTGGTCACTGCCTGGAAAGTGCTCACGTACTAGTGTCTCTGTCGCCGTTAGACGATTTCTAAAGATTAGGTCCAGGACGTGGCTACCTCTAGTCGGGGATTTTACTTGCTGTGTCCAAATACCAGATTTAATGCAAGATATGAAGAAGAGGAGGTTATCCGGAGCAGACAAGGGTGACCAACATATGTTTGGAGCGTTAAAATCTCCTCCTATGAGTTTCGGTCCAGGTGCAAGATACGATAGGTAAGTGAACGTTTCAGATATGTATGGGAAGTCGGTCGATTATTTTTTTAGGAAGCCGGTTCCAACTATCGACTATCCTACTACTGAAGAAGTGCTTCGGCATGTTTAGTTGACACCTCTGCTTCATGAGCTTGAGCCAATGACCCCTAGTGCCGTGTTGAGGAGCTACTGGAACGAGACTGTCCACTCCTACCTCCGATATTCCCTTTGTGATTTTGAAGGTTTCTATCAGGTCCGCTCGCAGTCTCCTTCTTTCTAATGAGAACAGCAGTAGAGTCTCCAGTCTTTTCTCATATGTTCCCCCCCTTTACCTTTCAACCATTCTGGTGGCCAGCCTCTGAACTTTCTCTAAAACGGCAGCATCCTTCTTGAATAAGGGTGATCAAGCCTATGCACAACAATCTAGGTGTAGTCTGACTATGGCTTTGTAAACGGGAATGAAGACTTCCGGTGGTCTGCATGTTAGGATCGACCGTAGTCTAAATAATCCCCCCTAGCCTTGCGCTGCTACTGCACGCTGGTCAGACCACTTAAAATTGTTTGATACCACTACCTCCAAGTCCTTCACCCTAGTATCAGGTTCGAAAGCGAACTGGTGCTCTTCTGAGTGTACTTCCAGTCCGTCAAATGCCCCTGTGAACACATGACTCTTCGTTGCGTTAAGACTTAGGTCCCATTCCCTTGCTCATCTAGCTACTTACTCTAAATCCCGCTCCAGATCACTTCTCCCATTCGAACTAACCACTTTGACGTCATATGCAAAAATGCAGTATGATGAGGTCACAGTGCTTGGCAAGTCGTTTGTGTAGAGAAGGAATGGAGGCGGTCCTAGTACTGATCCTTGTGAAAATCCGCTGATCAGCTAAGTTGGTTTTGACCTTTTCTCACTAACCGTTACATAAAATTATCGTTGTGAGAGAAAGGCACTTATCCACCTGTGCAACTATCCTCGGATTCAGAATCGTTCTAATCTGGTCAAAAACAGACGATGATTTACTTAATCAAAAGCCTTTTCGAAGTCCAGGTGGCAAGTCTCTACGTTTTTACCCTCACCTATTTTTGCATTACCATCCTCCAAAAAGCACAACAAGTTTGTTAAGTGTGAACGTTGCTTAACGAATCCATGCTGTGCCTCTGTCATGGGTATGTTCCGCTCCAGGTGTTTTACTGGCTAAGTTCTAACGCTAGTTAAGCTAACAGGTTGATAGTTTTTTACATCTGTCTTCTTACCGCCCTTGTGTATGGCTACTACCGAAGCTGTTTTCCAGTCGGACGGTAAGCTTCCTTCCGCTAGTGATGCTCTAAAAAGGCTGCAAATCAGCCCCAAAATTGTATCAGCAATCGGCCTGATGATCGCTAGGCTAATTCTGTCTGGGCCTGGAGCCTTCGATACCTTAAGACCGCCTAGTACCTTAGATACTTGATTGAGCGTTACCCGTAGTTCCTCCACTAGATCTGTTGCCGAGGGCTGGGAGGCACTTGACTCATCAGTGTCTAACCTTTACACGCTGCCAAAGTAAGCGCAGAATGAATCAGCTTTACTCTGGTTTGCAGTTATAATCCCATCTCCCTCAAGTACCAGCGGGCCCATCTCTTCTTTGGGAGAGCCCTTTGACTATTTGTACTCGTATTACTTCTTTGGCTCCAGAGTCACTTTCTGGGCCAGCTTTATTTCNAACCTCTTTTTCTCCATCACTAGGTTAACCACTGAATTTCTGTGGGTTATATAATTGACCTACGGCCTGTGGGTGCCGGATGGTTGATAGGCTCACCGGCCGCGGTTTCAGTACCTAATAGCCCTAGCTACTGCAGCTCGCCACCATGGAGGTTTTCCCTTGTGCTGCCTATATTCTAATGAGGCAAAGAGGCCATGGAGGTTGAGAAGGTTGTGATTGATCAACAATCAACATTCCTCTACGTCTGTGGTGTCTCGCTCGGGAATCCAGTGCATTCGTGCGGTGTATTCCCGAAGCCTACTTATGTTCATTCTACCAAAATCCGTGTACATTCATAATCTACGTACGAGTAGTTTTGTCTGGATATCGACCCAAATGAGGAGGTGATCACTTTTTCCGATCGGTGGATATCCAGGGACACTAATTACATCCTATTCCCTTTTGGAAAATACAAGATACAGTAGGGATGGTTGCTGCTGAGCTCTGAACCGCGTGCAGAAGGCAACATGCCGACAAAGTGCCTTTGTGTTTATCCACTCTAAATACCTTTCCTTCTGACTATCTTGGGTGCACCTACCTGCCATCCAATCTAAATCAGGTAAGTTAAAGTCACCAACTATGTACAGCTTCGTTGATCCCTGAACTAAGAAATCCAGTGCAGCATTCAATGCTCGGCCATCGGTGACCTCAGCCCCCGGGACACCGGTAGACGCACGCCATCGTAATCTTGTTGTCCGGTAACAGCAAAGTTACGGCACGCAGTTGAACACTGCACAGGTTCACCAAAACTTCGCAAAATATGTGCACAATGTCCTTCCTTATGACGAAGGTTACTCCTCCTCCTGGTGCAAGGGGCTGATCTTGCCTGTGGATGGCGAAGCTGTCTAACACTAAACCTGGTGCCCTATCGTGGTACTTAAACTATGTTTCCGATACAGCTATCACAGCCGCATTTAGGTTCAGTTCAGTTCATTTTGCACAGGACAGGAAATGGCCACGGTCAATGGAGCGTTTAGAGTTCTTTTGGTGGTATGCACAGGTCCGACACCCATCACTTTATCGAGTGATCCGTTAGTTCTCCTGCTAAAAGAGAAAGAAAAGGACAACTCATCTCACCTACTTGGCGAGAGACGTTAAGGTGTGTGAGCATTCAAAAGGTACCCTAATGGGAGAGCTAAATCACTACCCAACCCAGAAACTACTTAGTCTCGCCTTCGATCTAAGGCTAGTTTAAAGGTTTGAACCGAAATTAGTTCTGTTATCTCTTCTGGCAGTCGGTTCCATAGGTTTACTACCCAATTACCGAAGAAGTGTGATCTTGCCACTATCCTGGATCGAGATTTTCTAAGTTTCTTACAGTGACCCCTTGTTCTCGAACCGAGGTCTTCCTGAAGCAGGTTCTCCGGGCCTATGTCTGATAAACCCTTCATTAGTTTGGAGTTTTCGATGAGGTCACCCCGGAGTCTCCTCTCCAGAGAAGATCCCCAGGTCATGAAGTCTCTGATCATACGACTTCCCTCCTTAACCTTCAGTAATTCTCGTTGCGAACCTCTGCACTCAATCTAAGCGGGCAACATCCTTTTTGAAGAACGGTGACCATGCCTACACGCAGTACTCGAGATGGAGTCTAGCTATAGCTTTGTAAAGGAGCACGAACACCTCCGGTTTTCTGCAAGACAGTGCTGATCTCAGTCTGAACTGTTCTATGCGAGCCCTTTTGCGACTGCTGCGCACTGATCGGCCCAACGGAAATCGCAAGTCACGATGATACCTAGATCCTTAGCTCTACCAACCGATTCCATCGTAAACAACCCCTGGCCCTGCATCACTGTTAAGCTGTCGCCGGTCATCGATAGCAACTGAATTTTACCAGCATTCAGCGGCAAAACCTACTTATGCACCCAGCTCAGGACAGCAGCTGTCTCTTTTAAGGTCCTCTCTTCCTTTCGATCCTACCACCTTGACATCGTCGGTGAAGAAAAAGGTGGGCGTTCTTAACAGCAAAGTAAAGTCAGTTACGAATAGTAGGAACAACAACGGACGGATCACTGAGCCCTGGAGTACACCGCTTGTGACGTGTGTTGTACGAGAGCACTTGTCTCCTACCTTGATGTAGAAGGTCCTGTCCGTGACGAAGTCCCTCAGCCATTGGCGGATTTGTCCCCTTATACCAGACGCCTCCATCTTGATTAGTAGCAGTCGTTGGTTGACCGAGTCAAACACCTTGATAAAGTCAAAGTAGTATACATCTACCCTGCACCCCTTGTCTAATCTTCTGGTAACTTCATCCATGAAGCACAGTAGATTACTCAAACACGATCTACTTTTGAGAAACCCATGTTTAGTTAGACACAGCATAGAATGTTGCGTCAGGCGCTGGCATACATGCGTGTTAACAATTTTTTCTAACACCTAATACAAAATACTAGTTAGATGGACTGGCCTCTATTTACCTACCAATGATCAGGCTCCCCCCTTACGTACTGCCACCACTGCTGATACCTTCCAGTCCCTCAGTAGAACTCCCTGGTATAGTAAAACTTTGTATAGCTTATACACCAGCCCTGCGAGGATGTCTGTTATGGCCTTGTTGTTAGCTGGATGAATCTCATCCGGTCCAGCCGCCTCATGGACTTCTAGACCCTCCAAATGCTGGTGCACTATCTCTTCCGATAGCTGAATCTTCTCAATTTCTGACGGTGAGGATCCTCGCTCCAGGATTCTTGGCAGACCGTCATCTGTTCGATGTACACTGCTAAAATGTCCAGCCAGTGCATCTGCCTTACCCTGGTCATCCATAATGACCGCGGGAGCACCTGTAATTAATGGTCCTATACAATCTCTTAATGCTTCCTTGGACTGAACGTAGGTATAGTATTTCTTCGGTTTGATTTGGACGCATTGGGCCAAACGAAGCTCATATTGCCATTTGGATTCTCGTATTAGCATAAACGCCTCATTTCTACACCTTCTATAACGAATCCGCGCTTGTTGGTTTTCGGAAACTCTGAAGGTCTTCGAGTACCTACTTTGTTATTTGATGGCCCTGGTTATGGCTGCCCTCCATCACAACGGCTTATTGCTGCATCGGCTGGGTTTCACGGAGCAAATTCGTGTTGCAGATCCACGAGAGCCTCCCTAATTAATATCTAGTGGTCTTCTACACTAGCCCATCTGGAGCATCCCCTACCAACTCCGATGCCCCAGTTCTGAGATTCCCTAGACCCATACAGCCGAAATTTCTTATCAGCTTGTCGCATTTACTCTTCGATCAATATGATGACATGGTGGCTTTTACCAAGAGTTGGGTGCGACTGTGGCGCCATGATGTCATTCTTGTGCATAGTGATCACGAGATCTAGCAGCTACAAAGAATTACCGGACCTGAATCTAGTGCTTTCCTTAACATGTTGCCACATAGCACTTTCGTACAACCATTTGAGGTAGTCCTCTTCTACTGACTCCCTGGTGAACACCTCAAACCTCCAGTCTATATGTGGTAGGTTGAAGTCGCCAACAATAATTGATTTGTTAGCTTGTTTAACTATTCTCGTGAGAGCACACAGCAGTTGACTGACCTCTTCAAGATTTGTACCCGGTGCACGATAAACACCCTACGTTGACTCTTCTACTGTTTAGTAGTAAAATTACTGTGCACAACTGGACATTTCTCCTGTAGTGAGTGGTCTCTAATTTTATGTGGTTTGTTCCCCTTCTAACGAGATTTGCCACTCCTCCCGCATATTCTTGGTCACGGTCCTGTCGGTAGACGGAGAACAACTCTTGAACTAACTGCGATATATGATCCATATTATTCAGCCTTGTTTCGGTGATTGCCGCTATAGTCACCTTCTATGCCCGGGCCATCTGAGTCAGTTCTGTCCATTTATTCCTAACGTTGCATACATTGGTGCACAGCATGAACATCGTTTCCTCCCTTCCTATGCATTCATCGGAGATCTTACTTGCTTGGGCCTCGGGCGCAGCACCCGAGGAGACAGCAAGTTTCTTTCCACGGTACTTGTAGCCAGCGGGTTATTCTGATGAGCTCTATCAGTTGGTGGCTCTTTGTTTAATCTTACTGGGATCTCGACGTCCTTGTTATCTTCTTTCAGCGAACTTTGCCATTGATCGTCCTCTTGGATATCTTCGATGACCACGACTCCCGGAGACACCCACGGTATGCCTGCTAAGTGGTTGCCAGGAGACATCATCCGAGTTTGGACTATGTCGTTGCGTTTGTGAGGACGGAAACCTAATTCCCGAGGACTTGGGAGTTCCTTTTGACACCCACTGGGCCTGTCTCATGCAATCTGATATCGGCCTCTTGTCCTTTGGGCCAAATTAGGTCCCTATATGTTTCTGCAACAAACTCCACTTTAATTGTTCGCTCTGTAGGACAATCTCTATTGGAATTTGGGGCTTTATACGTCCCTAACCTATGGATTCTTTTGATACCTCCAGGTGCAAGATACTTGCTAGACGCAATATGTCTAACCCTACGGTCCAACTCTCGCTTGGTCTTGGTCTCCCTCATATAAGTTTAGTTAGGTTTAGTATCAGGAGCCTACGCCTGGATGACGTGTTCATTGCATGAATCTGCCTCTGCAGATCCATGACGTTTCGGTTAAGGGCTTTTAGATCCGGGTGGCTGTTTCCCGAATCCTTTTCCTGCTTCTTAGTTCTGGATTTCTTAACCGGTTGCTGCACTTTCCTAGCTACTTTCATCCCTACTCCGCTGATGATCTGCCGCACCGAGGTAGAAAAGAATGCTACCTAGAAACTGCTTGCACTAAACGATAATATTTTTGCGCTGGAATGCAGGCAACCTCTGCATATGACCGACGCGCTGCAGCCGTGGGCAGCGAAGTTGTTCCCGAACTTACGAGGATGCTCTCCGTGTGTGGTGTTTTTACCTTCCGTGACTCACGTTCAATTCGGCCCACTTACTCTGACAGTACATCTGCACTGATACCCGAGCACCTTGGATGGACCCACCTCTTGCACATATTGCACGCAAATCCCCTCGTCGTACCCTTACCGCACCCTTTCTTGAACCACAAATAAGATACTTGTGGCATACCTCAACAAACAGTTCAAATATTCTTAATCTTTGAAGGACGAAAGCACCGGGTATAAAACACAACAAAGGTAATACGGGAGAGACGTTGCAAAACTAGTTATTTCGGAGAATATGAACTCCAGATAACGTTAAAGAAAACCGGTATACTAAAACTTCGTGGAACGTGTGAAATAACTAACGTGATTTTACTGCAACAACAATAATCTTAGTCGCAACACAGGGCACTTAAAAATTTCAAACCGCGCGGTACTCACGTCAAGGTCAAGTTCAGTTCAGTTTACTTCAGTTTGCATAGAATGAAAGTTATCGTGACCAATCGTGTGTCCAGATCTTTGTGCTGTCAGCTAGTTGCCTTGGCTTTCAACACTGTTCGTCAAGCGTTCGCTCTGCTTTTTCTCTGAAAGGCAGAACGTTTGGGTGCAGTATCATATCCACCAGATATGTATAAGTGAAATACATAGGCATAGGAACGAACCAACCTTGTTCCTTCATCGCCTCTCAAGCAACCAGCCCCGAAAATACCACGTCCCACCACAGATTCAAGGACTTTATGAAACCCGCCACTGTTGAGCAGCTTATGATATTCTCCAGTGGTCTGGGGGAGCCGGTTGAGATAGTCGCCGTGACCTGCCGGCCTGTTATTTTCCCTGTTGGTTTTTGAACGAACACGGCGGTTCGCACTTCCCAACTTGATTGCTGAAGAGTCTGTGGTAATTGCACAGACCGCCCCTAGATGGGATTCGCCTGCACCGGTTGCTTGACAAGGAACGGCTANNCTACAGATTGTTGATGGTGGCCTGCATACTAGCCATAGCTAAGCGAAGGTCGGACAACTGCTTAGACAAAAGCTGCACTTCTGTCGTGGGCTCGTAGGGGAGCTTACCGAGAGTGGGATCGGAGAGCGTCTGTTGAACGATGGTTGGCTCCGGGCTCAAAATATTCGCCATTGAGGGCTGAAAAAGTTGAGCCTGCTCCATGGCTCGGTCATCAGACTCGGCAAGTTGGTCTAGATTGTGGGAATGGGCGAAGACGTTAAGTATACTCTGTATGTAAGGCAGGAGTTGCTGGAGCCAGATCTGGCGTAGTACATGGTCGTCTAACGTCGTGTTGCCTACCAACGCACGCCTCTGACGTAATAACTGGGACGGCTTGAGGTTCCCAGGTGTATCTCAGATAGTAGAAGCTAGATGCGTTTCTCCTCAGAAATGACCATACGACAGAGGAGTGCGTCTTTGAGCACGTCGTATGGGTTGTGTGCGGGGATATTCGTATATATATATCC